TATGTGCACATACATGCACACACAGGTCCTCACTCTCAAAATAAATAAACGATAGATAGATACATAGATAAAAATCTTTTTTTTTAAGTCTATACCAGATTACTTCCACGGTTCCCTTCTAGACCAGTCTCTGACACAATGAAAAAAAAAAAAGCATCCAAAACAGACAAGAATCCAATCCCCAGTGAGTTCCATGAACCTACAGGTTAAAAAAGAGAACATATAGTACAGTAATTTCTCACTTGAGGGCGCCAGACCTCCAGGTGTCTACAAAGAAAGGACAGGTGCTTCTTGAGAGCCAGTTTCCATTTTTCAGAACATCTGTGAGAAACCATATATTCAACCTTCTCTGAGGTAAAGTTTCAAGTATCTTTGCCTTTGTATGGATTCATGTAAGTAGTTTTAAAATAATGATCCAAAGCTGACTGACAGCTTCATGTATGAAAAGTAAAAAATAAGAAAACAAATTATTAGTTAAAATATACTTTTTGATAGGCTAAATGTTTTAAGAAATGGGACCTATGATGATATATCCTTGACTAAAAGCTTAGGAAATACAGATAGAGGGGATAGTGCACTAGTCTAGAAAATAAAGAAATAGCTTAGCATTTTTCCTCAATATGATTCACTTCATCTCACTGTGCCTCAGTTTCCATTTTCATCAACAAATGGGGCAGTATCGATCAAAGTCTAAAATTCTGTGATTTTTTCCATATTATGTAATGACCTCCTAAAAAACCTCTGCTAAGAAGGTAGTTCTTTATATTCAGAATCCCTGCAAAGAACTTTCTTTATTGACTCTACTTAGCAAATCATAAGAATAAACAATATTAAGTGTATAATATTAATAAACATATAGGTTGTACAGTACTTATAAACTTATAAGTTACCTTAGAAAGCAAAGAGAGAAAAAATTATAATAAACTAAAAGTAAAGTGTGCTTATCTACTGCTGACAGAAAAAACCAACAGGAAACACTTCAGTATAAAACCTCCACAAAGCAATGTCCCTGATTAACAACAAATGAGTTATCTTTCTTTCTCAAATTTTACTCTGAACACACCAGCTTCCAAATATATCCCTGGAACAAATGAACTAAAGAAGGGGAGGGGAGCAAAGGAAAAATACTGTATCATAATTGGTTTCCTCCCTTCAAAATTCCAGAAGATGAGAAGTGGGGGAAGGGAGTGGAAACTAGTCATAACCCAGCATGAAATTCTCCCATTTACAGCTTAATACATGACATCTCCTATTACATCTCCTACTTACAGCTTAATAATTATTGTGGTCTTTTTTTTTTTTTCACTTTTTTTTTTAGAATCATGAAACTTTTTCTCTGTCTACTAATAATTTCTTTATATTAAGAAAAGCTGGGGAACCTGGCTGGGTCAGTCAGAGGAGCATGTGATTCCTGATCTTTGACTTGTGAGTTCGAGCCTCACGCTGGGTATGGAGATTACTTAAATAAATAAAATTGAGAGAGAGAGAGAGAGAGAGAGAGAGAGAGAGAGAGAAAGGAAGGAAGAGAGGAAAGCAAAACAAAGCTATCTGCACTTTTTTTGGTGAATTCACACTAACCTAAATTTAACATAACAATGATGCGGGGGGAGTGGGGGCATTGGTGAGAAGGACTATTATTTGTGGGGTTTTGGGAAAGAGGGTGATAGGAACTTCAAAAAAATAAAAGCAGGAGCACCTGGCTAGCTCAGTCGGTAGAGCACACAACTCTTCATACCAGGGTTGTGAGTTCCAAGTCCCAGGTTGGGGGTAGAGATAACTTTTTAAAAAAAAAGGAAAAATGGCAGCAAGATCTTTTATACTATAATACATCTGAACCCAAGTTCAGAGATTTCTAATGAATTTTTATAATGTCATTCAACTTGCTAGGACAGACCGGAAAAGGCAGACTACCCCCATCCTCAAGCAACTAAGTTATTATGAATACGAACAAAATGCAATTTTCAACTTCCAATTCAATATTATGATTGAGAAAGAAAGGAAATCAGAAACCTAAATCCACATTTTAGGAGGTAATACAGCATTCTGCTCATAACTACATAGGAGTGAAGGGATTCATACCAATAATTTAACATAAAAGAACAACAAACTGACTCATTGGAATAAGGAACCTATTAATCCTTGGAACACCAACCATCTCTATATTTACACAGTATATGTAAATATAGATATACTCAACATCAAATAGCACGGTACGTTTTAAAGTGCCCATAGGAGGGGCACCTGCGTGGCTCAGTCAACTGAGCGTCTGACTCTAGGTTTCAGCTCAGGTCATGATCTCATGGTTAGTAAATTCGAGCCCCTGCACTGTTTAGTGCAGAGCCTACTTGGGATCTTCTTTCTCTCCCTCTCTCTCTGCCCCTTCCCTGCGCCCTCACTTGCTCGCTCTCTCTCAAAACAAATAAATAAACTTTAAAAAATAAGTAAGTTAAATAAAGTGCCCACATGAATCAAAGTGTAACACAAGCTCAACAGATACCACTCTAGCCCCCTACCAGAAGAACAATAAAAACATTTCACCTAAAAACAAGTAAGGTGCATTTAAATATAACCAGTTAAATTCATTTAATAACTCTGCCAGCTAAAGAGTATAAAGATACAAAAATGAATTAAGACTTAGCCTCTGACTTCAAGTAGTTCACATGAGGAGGGAAGCCAGAAGCATGTGCAAAATCAAAATTCTTTGAGATCACAGAGAACTTGCAAATTTATGGTAAGCAGAATTTGCCAGGTGAAAAAGTGGGAGGAAAGGTATCAACAGGCAAGGAGAATGGCAGATATAAAGGCATGAATGTAAAGAGCACAATTAGATAACCAGAAAGTCCTGAGTTGCCAGGGCAAGGAGAATAAGAAGGAAGGATGAATAAGCATGAAATTGTAGTAATTACGCCAGGAAAGGAAGCTTGTGGCTAGGTTGCAGGGACCATATATGCTACAACGAGGTGTTTGATCTTTATCCAAAAGGCCACTGAGAACCCAATATAAAATAAACTATTTTTATTTTTTTACTTTTTATTTTAGAGAGAGAGAGCATGCGCATAAGGGAGCAGGGCAGAAGGAGAGAGAGAGAATCCTGACAGACTCCATGCTCAGAGCAGAGCCTAACACAGGGCTGGATCCCACGACCTCGGGATCATGACCTAAGCTGAAATCAAAAGTCAGATGCTCAACTGACTGAGCCACCCAGGCACCCCCAACAATGTTTTTAGAAACCTAAGCGGTGACCATGTGGAAAACAGACTTAATAGGAGAGATGGGGGGTTGGGTTAGAAGATATGAAAACACTACTGTAATAATTAGGATATTATTGAAATAATGCAAGTGAAATGTGATAAGTCAGCAATAACAGAACAACTAAATAACAGCAGCAGACTAACCTATATCAATTTAGCAGTGATTGTATGTTCCTATACCTGACCATAGCTCCTATACCGAAGTATAGGCAATAGGGGAAAAACAGAAAAGAATGTAGTAAGAAATCTTTAAAAGATATAATTAGCAGGACTTAATGACCGCTGACCATCCAGACCCAACAGAGGATCTTCACTTAGACACTAATTTGGCCTTTCTGCATTGCTTCTGGAAATTTCTTACTTTCTTCATTTAGAGATTTCTATTAAAATACCTTATTTTGCTTAATAGATGTTTAAAAATTTGAATTTTTAACAGTATGAAGAGTCTCATGTATCTTACACGGGAACTATTTCAGTCTAAAAATTTCCTTGTGGCCACATGGGAAACAAAAAGAAATAAATGCAGAATACTTTTCTGTCAGAAAATATTGATCTTATCCAAGTTTGGATATGATTAAATTTATATGCCTTAGTTAGAAACCCTGAAAATACAGTAGAAATACAAATAGCACCTGAATTAAATATGGGGGAGGAGAAAAGAAGCTCTTTAAAACTTTGGGCTCCAAACAATTCAGGTATCCAAACATATATAATTTTATTACAACAACACAGTTTGTATTTTTCATGAAACCAGTTATGTGATTATGCACCACAGGAAAAACAGGTTAACTGATAAAGCTTACAGACCCAATTCCAATTTGATAAATGTGTTACTAAGGGGAAATAAGAATTGCAGCCACTCTGTTTCAACATGCAAATTATCTTCCATCATTTTCCTTTTTTTTAAAATATTTATTTGAGAGAGACAGACCATGAGCAGAGGAGGGGCAGAGAGAGAAGGAGACACAGAATCTGAAGCAGGCTCCAGGCTCTGAGCTATCAGCACAGAGCCTGACTTGGGGCTCAAACTCACAAACTGTGGGACCATGACCTAAGCCGAAGTCGGATACTTAATTGACTGATCCACCCAGGCACGCCTCATCATTTTCAAAAATATGTTTGTTGAGCTGTCAACGTGTATTACGGGGTTATTAAAATAGTGTGTTTCTTTCAGTAAAATGAGTCATGTTTCCCTCAATAAAGATACTGATTTTCACAATGCTGGCAACATGGCTTATCTATTTGAAGTTATTTTAATTATGAATATAGGTAATAACATATGATAAATACATTTCCCACCAAATTTAATGATCAAAGACAAAATTTTATTTGTCATGTTGTAACAAACAGTGCTAGTGTGCAATCATTTGAGGTTGACTGGCTCACCCTCAGATATTAACCATTAACCAGAGATGTCAGTTAAAAAATCTGTGTGAAATCATTAAGGTTAGTAAATGTTACAATTCAGTAGAAAGACTAAGAATTTCTACTTCAATTATTATAATTTGACTAATAAACTTTTAAGACCGTTGTTTTCTCATGATAGTATGTGTAGGTTTCCCCCACCAAAGGAAAAAAAGTTTGCATTGCGTTAGTTCCAGTTATAATTTTTAGCTGAGTCAAAGCTCTAACAGCCTTAAAGCAGGAAATCCAAAAGGAAATTCCATCATCAGTTCCTGGGGCTTGGTAACTCAATGGTTCTTTGAAACAAAGATATAAAAGTTCTCAAATTATTTACTATAACCTTACCTCATATCTTCAAGCAAATCACATTCTGCTTGATGTTTGGCTTGAAGTTTTGTCATCTGCTCAACTTGAGTGTTTTTCAGTTCTTGTGTAACTTTCACCTAAAAAATAACATACGTTTATGAAGGACTTACTGCAACTTTAATAACAAAATAATTAATTAAGCAGAATACTTAATACTTGCTCACTTCTCCCCTACAGGCCATTATTAATCATTATTAACCATCTTATTGTGTTCTACTGAAGATACTTAATGAGAAAACTAGACAAATAACCTGAAAGAGGGTAAATGAAAGTAAAAGAGTATGAAAATTACACAATAAAGAAGCTTCCAGTCATTCCATTTCACGCACAAGCTCACTACATATGTAGTAGGTCTTCTTAAGAGTTTTTAAAGGGCCTGTCTTCTGTTTCTTCGAAAAAATATTTAAAGATTTCAACCACCAGGGGAGGTGAGCTGAGTGTAGATGGCAGAAGGGAGTATAGGAATGCCTAATATCTAAGGACCAAAATTTACACAATCATGAAATCGTATGCATAAATTGACTACATAAATTATTCCATAATGGCTGCGAGAAAGCACAGGGTCTCTCAGGATGATGCCCTCGACTCGCTGACAGCCCATCAAATAACAATCTCTTTCTCACAAAGGAGAAAGCAAAAGTGACCTTCCAGCATATGCAGTGCTTTTAAACCACTCCAGCAAGCCCGTCCCCGTGGCGGCTCCACTTCAAACAGAAGAGCAAATGCAAGCTAGCCAGTGCCTCTCGCCGGGGTTCCAGGTTACAGTGCCTGGAATCCCCCCCCCCCTCACCGTAGCCGTGCTAACTCGGAGGGGTGGGGGTACATATGTGAAAGAAAAAAAGAGTCACTTAACTGAAGAAACCCGGATTAAGAAAGAGAAAAAAGCAGACACGAGCGAGTTAGGCATTCAGCAAATGTTTGTCCACGAGGGGAGGACAGAACAGCCTTCTCCACCCAATAACCAGAGTAGACACTAAGTAACCATCTGCAGGATTAAAAAGACAAGGACACAGCCTGAGCCCCTGGGAACGCTGGAGAAGAGGACAGTGAAACAGTTCTCGAAGGGCGCTGTGGGGAAGCTGCTGACACGCCGGGGGCACCCGTCACTCCCACCCTAAACCCAGATTGCGGTGCACACGCCACGCACTGCCTATTTCACGCTCTCCGCGGGCAGCACCACTGCCTCCTGGCCCCCTAGCTGGAGGAGCGGGGTAGGATTGGCGCGGGGGGGGGGGGGGGCAAAATTTCTTGTTTTCCCCTGGGGTTGGGGGCGGTAACTAGTCCAACTTCTCGTCAGCCCCGTGGGAAAAGCAGGCCGAACCTTACGGCTAGGTTAGAAACAAATTCCCTGAAAATTTGCAAATGGACAAGGGTAGCGACAAGCAGCCGGAGGGCTCAAACCAGGCGCAGACTAAACAATCACACAAGCACAGGCTCTGCAAAGCTGCAGGGGCTCCCCGCCTCCCCTCGGTGCAGCCCCGAGAATGCACTTTGCAGCTAGCAGCACTGCCATGCGCGCGCACACACAAATGCACACCCGAAACTCTGCGAAATGTCTGGGGAGTCTCCCGTGCGATGTAGGGGACGAGCCCGGGTCGCCCCTCCGTCGGAAAGACACCTCATCCGCGTGGCCCCCTTCTGGAGCCGCCGGCAACTAGGTGACAAGCCCGAGGCGACGGCGGGCACAGCCCCTTGCGAAAAGGGGGAGGGGACGCAGCAGTCGCCTCAGCCGAGTCCCTTGTACACATCCCTCCCAAACCCCAAAGCCCCCCAACTGCACCCTCACCTTCCTCGGCGGCGGCTGCATGATGCTGAAGGGACATCAATCCTCCCCCGACGGCGGCGTCAGCTAGGACGAGAAGCTGGAGGGCCGTGAGGAGTGGAGGCCCCGCAAGCGAGTATGTGTGTGTAACAAGCCTGAGAACGAGAACTCGCCCGGCAGGGAGCAAGGCCGGCGGGCGGCTGGAGGACCCGGGTTGGAGGGCGAGTGTGAACAGAAGGAGGAGGAGCCCCGGGAAGGCCAGGGGCTCAGACGGCCCGGGGGGTGTGTGAGAGAAGGAGGCGGAGACCGCGAGGGGGCGGGAGCCCTAGAGCTGGGGCGCGGGGTCTCCTAGCTTGCCGAGTGGCTCTCGAAAGGCAGCGTCGTCCCGCTCCCCGCCCGCCGGCACCTCAGCTCCTAGCAGACGCGGCCCCCCGCCCCCACTCAGGCAGCCCGGCCCTCGCAGGGCCCAACGCCCCCGCCCGTCCCGGGGAGGTGGAAGGCGGCGCCGCGCTCTGGGCTTCGGCTCCTCCACTCAGGCCGCGGGAATTTCCGGCCCACCGTGTGGCGCAGCGCCCCGCTCCGGTGGCGGAGGGGACAACTCAGTCCTCAGCTAGGTTCGGGGGGCCGGGCCACGCTGTAGGGAGGGAGCGTGGCGGCGGCGCGGGGCTCCGGATCTCGGCGGGGGGAACTAACGGATCGGTCGGCGAATAGGAGGGGTAGAAATGCTAGCGGAGCACGAAAATCCCCCCCTCTCTCCGGGAGTGGCACGTTCCAAACGCCGCTTGTCCTCCCTCCCCCACCCTGGGAGCCAGACGGGGGCTTCCCGCGCGCTTTCCCGCCAGCCTCCCGTGCGCGCGCCTCCGGTCGGAGCCGCGCACGTGGGCGGGAGAGGGCTCCGCGCCGACGCACGCGCACAAGCCGCCCCCACCTCCTGCGGGCTTTTGGGCTGCAGTGTTTCTGTGTCCCTGTCGCGGGCGGGGGCGGGGGGGGAATGACACTCATATTTTTACATTGGGGTGGAGGGTAGCATGCCTGTGGCAGTAGGAGAGTTCTGTTTTTTACTTCTTTTTGGCCCTCAAACACCCCTTTCTGGTAAGTGAATAGGCTAGCCAAATAGGCAAGCACGAAGGGGGCGAGCAACGACAAGTCCTTTCTCAGCGGGCCGCAGGTGCCTGACTGTTGCGGGGGCGGGATAGGGGGGTGTCTAGTTGCCTTGCTAAGGAGAAAAGGCTCTCTGGTACCGGGCATTCAAGTCAAAGAGCACGGACTCTGTGCTGGAAGGAAACCGCGAGGTAAAGAGCAGGATTCCCAGTTCACAGATAGGGAGGCTTATGCCCGTAGAAAAGGGGAGACTTTCTGTAGGTCACACAGCACGACTAGACTCTGGGTCACGAAGGGGTCTATGGGTCATAAATAGGTGCAGATGATAACTATGAGAAAAAGTAGAGGAAGCAGCAAGGACAACGGAGGAAACTCTTGAAGAGTCAGGACCTCTGGGTCTCAGCCCACTCTGCCTCTATCTATGCAGCTCGGTGAGCTCCGCCTTCCTCATCTGCCAGTGAGGCTGTTCATCCACGCAGCCCCCTCCCCACACATTCCTGCCCTGTCCAGACCATCTGGGGGTAGGGTTTTCAGCCTCCCTTGGGATGCTCAGAAGAATGAAAATACCTCTTCTGGAGCCACATGGATGTGTGAAGGGTGAACTAGATTGCTCTACGGTTTTATCAGAAGTTGGAGTACCGGACACCTGTTCTCAGAAGCGTAGTCAGGCAAAATAGGAAAGTCAGTGAGGCCTGGAGAGACCCAAGTATATTGCCCAAGGCCACAATTGACCAGAAATTGGTTCAAGATGGACCTTGAACCCAGGTTGTTCACACTGAATTACCTAGATTCTTGTAAAGGAAGGCTATGCATGAGTCAGATTGTGTATGAACCAGGAGATCAGGCTTGCTTTTTCTGATTTCCTTGAGGCCATTCAAAAGTCAGCCCTTCACCAGAGTCCTTAATTACTATCAGGGAAGGCCTGGGGCAAGGAACAGGTGGGTGGAGGCCCAGCTCCCTGACAGCTGTGGGGCAGCAGCTAGAGACCAGGCAAGAGGTAGCCAGGCTGGGCTCCAGTCTCAGCTATTGTGAGGCTTTGAGCTAGTCAGTTTCACTGCTTTCAGCCTTTATTTTCTCACTTGTAAAATGGGGATATAATACCAGCCCCATAGGCTTGTTGTATTGAATAGAATTTTTGGGGGCGCCTGGGTGGCTCAGTTGGTTAGGCGTCTGACTTCCGCTCAGGTCATGATCTAATGGTTCGTGGGATCGAGCCCTGCGTTGGGCTCTGTGCTGACAGCTAGCTCAGAGCCTGGAGCCTGCTTCAGATTCTGTATCTCCCTCTCTCTCTGACCCTCCTCTGCTCACGCTGTCTCTGTCTCTCAGAAATAAATAAAACATTTTTTAAGTAATAAAAATAAATAGAATTTCTTCTACCACAGGGTCAGGCACATAGTCAGTGATCAATAATTACTTACTGATTCATCATTCATTCAAAAAATATTTGCCAGGTCCTGCTTTGTGCCAAGCCTTGTGCCAGATACAGATTCTTAAGAGCAAGACAGAATCAACCTCAGCATTCACCAAGGCTGAGTTCCAGACAGCCATTCCACTATTTTAGTGGGGGAGGGGTAACAGTGCTTGCCCGGACACAATGTCATGCACACAAAGGTGCTTAACAAAGATTTGCTGGATCTTACTCCTGGGTGCAACTAGTCTGGCCCAGAGATTATCCTCCCTCACCTCTCTTTTATAGGGGTATAAAATTGCTAGATGTTACGATATTCAGGATATAACCTCTACCACAGATATGCTGGGCCTTCTCTGGGTCTTGGTCCCCAACCACAGAATAAGGTAAGTGAATGAGCCTGGAATTTCGTAAGCTCTTCACAGATGAAGTACAACCCTGGGGCTTAGGAGGGCATCCTTCACCTGATTTGCCATTATTCTAAAACTAGGAATGGCATTGACTTTCTGCGATGATTTCCTTTGGAGGTATGATTTAAAAAAAAAAAACAACAACAATAACAACGACAACAACTAAGGGGCAACACCAGATAGACTTACCTGCTAATTGCTTTTTCAAAAGTGTGGTTTAAAAAAAGAAATGTGTTTAACATTTACTGAATGCCTTTCCCCAAACCCAAACTTTCATATTACGTTTCTGAGCTAATCTTCACTATAATTCTGTGCAAGAGTGTTATTTTATTCATTTTATGATTGAGTAACTGGAAGCTCAGTGAAGATAAGTGATTTGCCCAGTAGTGATGGATTTGGGACCAGAATCCAGTTCTCCCATTTGCCTCCTGTTCAAGGAATTGAGACAGTTCATCCAGGAAAAATGCAGACTCAGGATACAACCATATATTCCAAATTTCACAGGGATGGAAAAGGGATTTCTGTGATTTGTATAAGCTTGACTTAAAATGTACCCCTCTGAACCAGGCTGGGACCTTCCAGGGCCTTGCTCCTGCAGTGCAGGCAAGCTCTGTGTTACCAGATGTAAGATCCCTTGATACTGTTTGGGGGAAATGTCACAGAGCTGTTCTGTGACCACAGAGCAGCATGCATTGTGGCCACAGAGTCCAAACTCAGAGAGGTCTCAGCTGTGTCTAAGGAAGTTTTACCAGGCCGACCTGGCCTTAGAAGGGGTGAGCTCCCCCATCCCTGGGACAGTGCAAGTTGGTGCTGACTTGCTTGCACCAAGGAGACCACAGATGGTATTCTTACCCTGGGAAGAAATTAATAACAGCTACCATTTATTTTACCTCTTGTATGTTTCAGGGATTAACTGTAGGCATATTATCTACATTGTTTCTAACCTTCATAACTTCTCATGATACATGTGACACCACTTCACGGACTTCACAGGCTGAAGATCAGAAGTGAAATGACCAGCCCAAGGTCACACACCTAGGACAGGAGAGCCAGGCCTGGCCCTTGGCTCCTTCTGGTTCTGAAGCTATGCTTTTCATCCAGCATGCTGCTGTACAATCTCCCAGAAGGAATGTGATTCTAAATTTAAGTGAGAGCCAGGATTAAAAGCTGACTAGAGCAGGCATATGAGTGAGCATTGGAAGATAAGCTATTCTAATATTCCACAGGACTCCCAGGAGAAACTCCAGGGATACGAAGCATGCAGCAACCTTTGAGCATGATTAGAATGTGAACAGCAAGCACCCCACCACAGTTCAAAGTGGCCACCCTGGACAGATTGGCATTCCATCCAAGGCTCTAGAGATAGTGGCCACCATCCCACATGTCCATCCCATATGCACTTTCCACCCTCCCTGCAGCTAGGGCTCATAGCCCTCACTCCCTTTCCTGCTCTCTCATTATCCTTCACTCACATTGGTTCAGGATGCTCAGAACTACGTATTAGCTCATCCAAATGCTAGCTATTCCCTGTTTGAGCCCCACTGAGGCTAGCTGGTGACTCTGCTGCAAATAATGCAGTCTGTGAACCCTATCCCCATTCACCTCCCTTTTACCCTTTCCTCTGTACCTCTACTCCCCCACCCCACCCCATGCCCCACACACATCTCAACCTTTGCCCCTGCCTGAACTAATCCCCTCAACACAGCCCTCTGGTAAGCCTGGTATGGGAGTACGTCTGTCTCCTCCATTAGCTCTCAAGATAGAATCACAGCCTGCTGGAATGAGGCCTCAATTTCAGTGGCCAGCAGAAGAGGGCAGGGGCTCTTCCTAGGACACACAGTGAGCTTATGGCAGAACTAGACCTTGAATTCCATCCTGCATCACTCAACCAGTCCCTTATCTGGCCTCGGTCATAAGCAGGTCTCTGGGATGAGACCCAGGCCCTGTACTCCAGGAGCTCCCAATCTCAACACATGGACCAAAGATCACAGCAGTGAGTCCAGAACACACAGCACCCAGATTCAACCAAGTGGTGACAGGGATCTAAGGCCAGACGTGGGTACCTGAGAGGCACCTACTGGGACAGGGAATTATCTGGTCAGCTGGTTCCAGGGAGTGTTACAACTTGGGGCGGGGGGAGGGGAAGAGGACAATCAGTTCCAGGGCCATAGCAGGAGTGGACAGTCACATGGTTTTGATATCAGGAGGCAGGAAACCAAGGTTCTAGTCCTGTCTTTGCCAGGCACTTGGTGAATGTCACCTTTTGCACATCACAAATTCTGTCCTTCCTCCTAAGGAGGTGGTAGGCTAAGTGAAATAACAGGTATGTGATCCGTAAAGAACTGAGGAGCTATGTAAACTAGTGACTGTCTGCTTTGGAATACATCAGGGAAGGTGGAATGATTGCTTATGGAGGATACCAACGAAGGCCTTTCCACTGGGAGCTGCACTGCGATTACCACTCTGGGAAACTTGGACCAAAGGGTAAAAGTCAAGTTTGGTAGGAGGATTGACATCAAAGGAATTTGGGGTCAGGCAAACCTGGGCTAGATGTTTGGTTCCTCTTCTGCCTCACTTAGGATTCTTAATCAAGTTCTGAAATCTCTCTTCAACCCACTGCCCTTGTTCTTACAAGAGGAGTT